AATTTATAACAACAAACATATGAAACATATGTGTGAACTGCGGTTATGAGACGTATATGAGAACGATCCTTCGCAGTAAAGCACTATTTGAGCAATAGTGAAAATCAGACCTGAAAAAAATTTCAGGCCTGTACGGGATTCGAACCACTGACCTCTGCGATACTAGTGCAGCGCTCTACCAATTGAGCTAACAAGCCAACTGGGAGCAGGCCATCAAATTAATTCGATATAAACCCGTAGATGATAAATCAAACAACAACAAACATATGAAACATATGTGTGAACTGCGGGTGAAACTTTCATACCCAATGAAAGTACTAAATTGTACCTATTTCAGCCCCTATCATACCCTATTTCAGCCTTTGTTTCATGTTTTCTACCCCTATCATACCCTATTTCAGCCTTTGTTTCATGTGTGAAACTTTCAGGTCTGATTTCCACTATTGCTCAAATAGTGCTTTACTGCGAAGGATCGTTCTCATATACGTCTCATAACCGCAGTTCACACATATGTTTCATATGTTTGTTGTTAATTGAAAGTAAGCAACGCTATATTTCAACACACAAAAATTTACAACTTTTGATAAAACTACCCACAGAGGGAAGTGAGTTATTTTTCATTCAAACGACCACACCATTTTGGCTAAAAAAAAACCCCTTACCGTTTAGAAGCATTTAATGTTACAAATCGTTTCCATGTTAAATGTAAAACTAAAGAAAAGTATTTTTGAGTGGAAGAAATTTCTAGTACGGAACGCTCCTTCTACATTTTCAAGATTTTTTTATGTGTTTTCAACCATATAATCTTGAATAATCGCACTTTTTCTGGCTTAGTTACTACAAGTGTTAACTTCTGTTGTTATTCAAACTATGTACCTTTTCTACTTCAAGTTAATAGCTGGTTTGGCGACAAATTTTAATATATTAAATGATTAAGAATTTTTTTCCCTAACAGCTGCAGTGAGTTAATGTTGCAGTTAAATTTTCTCTGACTCCATTTGGGACCAGGAGGCGGAGAAAATTGAAGAAAAAAGATACCTATTGAAACTGTGCCATGGCTGAAATATAACCTGCAAAATATATCTTTCAAAGATAATCTAAGCTGAAAATCAGCTGTACCTATAACTTTTGAGTAATCTCAAGGGGTTTAGTCTTTCCTAACTGTATATTAGACCATTCTATTTCTAGCAGTTGAAGAACACGAAAAGATGTGAACAGGTTTCAATATTTTTTTCATGAAAACCTTTAAGCGTGCTTGTAGAGAAACGAACCTGCTGTAGTAAGAAACTTCTTACCTATCTTGAATTGCACTATCATATCCACGATGTAGATTAAATCCGAGAGGTAATCGAAAGTGAGCCAGAGTGATATAGTGTTAGTCTGAAGGTCTGAAAATGCTATGCGAGCGATGATGAAAATCCAGTTGTACAGTACAGATATTGATATGACTATTAACCACCAGTAATGTAACGATCCCGAAGGATCTATCACAATCGAGGAGGCTGAGGAATCCATCATCTTCCTGCTGTTCCGTGTCAAGTGTGATGGACCGGCCATTTCTAGCTTTTCGAGGAACGAATCTACACGCGGCGTGTTTTCGCTTCTCTTGACTCGAGTCTTATTTAGCCACGAACTTGCGAGTTGTAACGTTTTCGCGACTTGTACCATCCTGGAACCAGACGAGTTTTTGTTGTTTTCCGTGCGGACCTTGTTGTTTCCAATGTCTTCCGCAGCTGTCCCGATAACCTCATCAACGTCTTCATCTTCTTTATTGTTGGCATTTTCGAGTGCCTGAAGTTCTTGATCAAATACATCTTCATCCTTTTCGGCGCAAATCTCTTCGTTTCCAGTTGACTCGGCTGCAACAGAGTCCAAAAACTCCGAGTTGTTCATTGCCGGAGAGACGAAAACTTTCACTGTTTGTTCCATGAATTCTTAAGGGATTTATTTTATGTCCTTAACACTTGGCACAGCGATTAGAAATTTGCAAAATTGAGTCAGTTTTTACGACCAATGTGTCTTTATGGTTTTCCTAGGTAAGACAACCCAGAAAAAGAAATCAAACTTTAACCTTAGAAACTAGCCGGCTTAATCCGCGTCCCTCTCTCGATCCTCTATAGGCGGAAAACTAACTCCTAGGCTCTGCTTGTGAAACTAAGTTCTAAGTAAACGGAACAGTTCTTCACATCGCTACGAAAACAAGCTTAATATCGATTGTTTACAGCATCATAGAGTACAAATCCCGAGGCGAGAGCATATATTTCTTTTGTTTACTAATCATTTGAGATAACACGGTGTTCTTTTCAATAAATAAACAAGAAAGCCGCATAGAATTATCGATCGGAAGCAGTGCTGAATAACAACTAAACTCAGTGGTTAATCGCATCGATGTTTTCTATGTTTGAAACTGAAAATGATCAAGTTCTTTTGAATGATATAAACAAGTTTGAAAAGCTGCAGGAATTCTGTTGACAACAGTCAATAAACAGTTTTAAACCGAAACTTTGACGAAAAGATACTAAGTATACACGAAGCCTTAAGATGCACAGATTAATCAGTAGGGCAGTAGAAACGGCATAATTCAAATATCATCAACGACGAGACTGCGAATTCTTCGATCATAAAAAAAGAAACCTATCAAGCGCAAGATTCTACAGTATGACTCTTTCTCATAGTTAAATTTTAGAATGTTACAATTTTACATTTTAGTAGTATTTAGAATTATACTTGTAACTCGAAGATACTAGCTTATTCTTTAGCTACTCCAAATTCGAGATTAAATAAAGTATATGTATGTATGTATGTATATGTATCAAATCACAGAACATTCCAATATTATTTCTCTACCGTTTATTCGTTTGGTTAACTTGATTAATACCTGGAGGGAGGTCCGTAAGCGACTCAGATCTACTATCCATTTCATTTTTAACACTGAACAACACATAAGTACCTCTTTATTAAATTGGGATATATCAACAAAGTTGAAATGGTAAATTGGCCACCGTAACGATTACAAAAGCTGACGTTTCGAGCGTTAGCCCTTCGTCGGAGCGAATTATTTCGTTACCCCCACCGACGCAGCCCCCAATAGTTTCTTTAGAAACTATCAGCCTTTCTTCATCTTTATTAAATTATTAGGGAGGACTTTCGAGGAAGTCATATGGTTAATTATTACAGCTTAGGCTGATGTGTGCAGTTTTGCACAGAACAGGTCAACGTGGGTCTTCATTTAAATGTATTTAGTTTTTAATCGAAACTTTCCATCTTCTTATTGTTTTTGTTTTTGACTTGGTTTTTTTGTGATGCATTCACATTGTTTTAAAGCCACGTTCAAACAGCGATTTCTTTGTTGGTGGTCTTTCGTGAAAATTGAAGTATGACTGTTTTAGGACCGGAGTTTGAGAATTTTTTGCGATGTTGGCCGCCCGCATGAAAAAAAAAAAGAAAAAAAAAATCTGATCGTCTTCAACTTTGAGTGACCTGAGCGTCGCTTAGTCCCACAAATAATCGCTTGCGACAAGTCAAATATCTACAAAAGTGATATCCCAATTCTTGAATCAGTAATTAAATTATTTCAATTTCTTCTCTTTGAGCAAAGTTAACTACAAGTAGATAATATATGGTTTTGCAGAAGGCTTTGAAAAAAAAAATAGTAGAAAAACCTTAAAATGAGAGCTTGATTCTCTTTTGGTTGAACCAGAAATACGCTGTCCGATTGTATTTCACCAGTCAGTAAAATGTTACGCAATGAATTACGGGCACTGCAGGTGAATTTTTATGAAATGGTGTCTTTGTCTGCAGCTTTCCATAAAACGCGTCCTGTGAATAAAGAAGGTTCATCCCTTAACAAAACTGATAATACGCAAACAAACCAACCAACCAATTAACAACCAAACCAAAAGATGCAAACAGTACGGATGCACAACGGAAGAAAGACAGTTTTAAGTAATTATTTCTAGTTTTTTTTTTTTTTTCCCACATCAATTTTTTATCATTAAAGCAGTTTTTATTATTTTCTCTGGGTTTTGGAAGATAATAAATATATGTTCAGTAACTTCAACACCAGGAATTTAGTAGACTGTAAAAAGATTCCCTAGGTCAGGGAGTTAATCTTTTCACTCCCAAGATCTCCATGGTAATTGTCCCTTTTGCCTGCCTCACAATTCTTACAATGTTAGTTTAGAGAATTTGGTATTTGATCTACTAATATTCCTCTAACTGAAATTTTTCTTTATTCTCATCCCTTGTCTGCTTGATATTGTATTGATAAGGTAGGGAGAAATTCTGTCTTGGTCCATCACAGGAGTAAAGTGGTTAAGTTATTATAAAATAAAACAGATCCATGGTGTTAAAGTAAACTTCTACCACATTGGTGTCCTTCAAGGCAGCCCTATTTAGATCATTGAATAAAGGCTGAAAGTTTCTAAAGAAACTGTGGTGTTGCGCTGGTGGGGGTAACAAGGTAGTTTGGTTATATCAACCAAGTTGAAATTATAAGTTAGCCACCACCAGTTAAAATGCTGATATTTCGAGCGTTAGCCCTTCGTGAGAGCAAAAGATGAAGGGCTAATGCTCGAAATGTCAGCTTTTTAACTCATTACAGTGGCCCACTTACAATTTCAACTTAGCTGATATAACCAAAATACCTCTTTAGATCATTTTATCAAATACATCATTCACATATTTCCAATCTCAATTATGGCATCCACAACATTCCCAGTCTTCCGTAAACATTTTATGGCAAGATTTCTCTCCACATTGAGCTGCTTCACAATTAAGTCAATGTCTGATTGTTCTAAGCCATCTTCACTCTCAGATATTTCTCCAAATGCTAAAAACAAGGCCTTATTAAAGAGCATGTCCTTTACATTGTCACTTGTTGCAATTTTACCTCTGTGTATGAGTTTAAGTTTGGAAACAGGGATGCTTAAGTGATCTGAAATAATCTGTAGAATTGAACTGCCCTTGTCTGTTAGTGACACCATAAGTTCACTCTTAACTTTGTTGTGTTTGATATAAATTTTTACAGTGTCTACTTCAGTGCCTTTTGTAGACAAGACTGCATTATCAGTACTGCTTCCTTCCTCAGAGCCACGATTTCTTTTCTTGAAATTTTTGCCATCTGTTTTGTTGTCAATGTTTTTACTACAAGACAGGCCATTAGAATATTCTTCTACAGTATCTCCCATGTTAGTCATTTCAGCTCTGTGGCTGTTTTCTGAAGAAGGTAGTGTTGAAGGTAATGAAGACGTTTGTAATCCAGTTGATGATGTACAAACATTGCTTCCAGTTACTCTAAACTCTAAGCAACTTGGTTTATGGTTTGGCCAGTGAAGTAACTGGCACTCCTTGGAACTAATAAAATTGGGAACAATTGAAATGTTTTCGGTTATTATAGTACATTGGGGATTAGAAGACAAAGATTGAAAAAATAGAATCAGATTAAAATTAAAAGATAAACTGAAATCAGTCATAAAGGAGGAGCACAGAAATATAGATCTAAAAATCACGATATTTACCAATAAATTACTTGTTTGCAAGCCGTGCACCGCTTCATAAATCTTTGTTTACTTTTGCAGTTCGCACAGAAGACAGCCACCTCTACATCCTCTACCTCCGCCATCTTGATTTCCGAGCCGCTTGGAGAGGTCGAAAAGAACTGGTGACTTATTTATTAGTCATGCGCATACATAACCCGAACTTTATTTTGGTTTTCAATTAATTACAAAATCGGCGATTTGACTGAGTTTGGAATATTGTGTGGGAGAGATGGGCTAAAGAAATGGGTTGAAGGGCAATCATGGTAGGAATAACATTTCTCTAAAGTGTGTAATGCAACTGTGTTAAATTGAAATCATTTCAAACGATGGATTCCACTTTTGCAGGGTGTAACCGCTTCTCAGTTGGAGAAAGACATCGGCCATGAATTTCCGCAAAATGAACATTATTTTGGCTTGGTGAATGTAAGTATGCTCGCATTCTTTCGTTTATTTTAGAGACAGACACCAGACTAAGGCACTGATATATATTTTTAACCCCTTCTCTGTAGTTTGGAAACACATGTTACTGTAATTCAGTTCTTCAAGCGTTGTTTTTCTGTCGCCCGTTCCGAGAGCGCGTTTTGGGCTACAAACCTCTTTCCAAGAGAAAGGAATCGTTACTGACGTGTCTGGCTGATCTTTTTGGTAACATCGCTTCGCAGAAGAAAAAAGTTGGTGTTTTGGCGCCCAAGAAATTCGTAGCCAGACTTAGAAAAGAAAACGGTGGGTAAAAATCCAATTTTATTCTCTGCCGTGCACGGTACATACATATCGACAGGAACTGCACGAAGCTGTTCAAATCAAACCAACTCATTAAATTCATAGTTTTGATTATTTTCATGCAATCGCTTTAAAAATCTCTACGTTGAAATTGCTGGAAGATCTACAGGATACTAGCTTCAAAAAGTAACTCAGAAATTATTTAAAATCTGATTTAAGTTTCTTTCGTCTCTGTAGTTTGTACTTCTGCTGACCACACAGATTTCTTCCAATTTTTCTTTGTTTTTTTCCCCTTTTTTTCAAAACTGAGGTTTCTAATTACCTTATTGTCAATTTTATCGGTGTTAGCTTTTAGCTTTCAAGAAGTGCTAAGAATTTGAAAGAATGTTACATGCCGGTAATATAATGCAATGATGCCCTGTTGAAAGACCATAATCCCCATTACATAATATATGTCAATCCAAAGTTCTGAGAAATGAACTCTGATCATGTTTTATTCCCCGCCCAGAGCTAAGCATCAATGTCTATTGTTTTTCAACTGAATTGCAAGATAAATTATTGCAAATGGCAGTTTAATTTTCACTGAATTAATTTGTGTGACAAAGTAGCTCTAAGGGTGACAGATGTAAATGTTTTAAATAAATGAGAGGCCAGAAAAAAAATGAGAATTCTTCTATTCTAATCATGTCGCAAATACCACTCTGGTAGAAGTTTTGTTTTGTATAGTTTGCAATTGTCACCTCCAGAGATGTCAAGCCCCTTTTGACTGTTAGAGATATCTGCGGAGTCAGACATAACTTTAGTATATTTGATTTAAGCTTTAATTTTTGAAGCAGTATCCTAGGTTTTAAAAGATGAAAGTTAATTGTTTAGATAACAACTGGTGCACATCTTTTATAGAACTTTTTGACAACTACATGCAGCAGGATGCGCATGAGTTCCTTAACTATCTTCTGAATACAATAGCAGATCTGTTACAAGGTGAGTGCGTTTTTACTTTATGTACAAATACATATATCTTATTAACCAAGCGCGAGGGCCGTACTGGGAGAATATGGGCCCGAGGTCTTGACAGTACAGACCGAGCGCAGCGAGGTCCGTACAAAAAAGACCGAGGGCCAATATTCTTCCACTACGGTCCTGAGCAAGCTTGGTTAATAAGAGATTTATTATACGACTGAGGTTCAAAGGGACACAAATGCGGTATCATGATTCGGGACCATTCGGGACAGTGCCCGGTCCAATACTTAGAGAATATTGGACCGGCAATAGAGCAATTTGATTGGTTGATTTTAGTTATTGGCCCTCTGACTGCCCGAGTTGTGTAATAAATTTTATTATTAGCTACTGACTCTTTTTTTTGGAGAGGAGAGGGAGGTATTGGATTCTGGGCATGTACACATTTAAGTGAGTTAAAGGGGTTCTATGGCATATTTTACTTTAAACTTTTATATCTTAATTCAAGGTGAAAAGGCCAAAGAAAAAGAGAAAGACAAACACAGTAGCACTAGCAGTGTAAGCAGTAAAAGTAGCGTCTCGTCTGCAGGGACAACAAATGGGGGATCACAGCAGAACAATAAGACAGAACCCACCTGGGTTCATGATATCTTTGAAGGAGTTCTCACTAATGAAACAAGATGTCTCTGCTGTGAAACAGTAAGTGAATTAACTATTTCACCCCCAAGTTCTCATTAGTAATTCTTCTTTCTGTCTGCCTTGTACAGTTGTCATAATGTCATTTTGGAGAATTTGGTATCGGATCAACTTTCATGACTGTATAATCCCCTTATTGATATATTTCTTTATTCTCATCATTTGTCTGCTTGATATTGTGAGAAGAAATTCTGTTTTTGCCCCTTTTTGGTCGTATTGGTGCACTGTTATGCTTTTGGACAACGAAGGTAAATTATTAGGCTTGATGAAAGCATTGAGAGTCAGAATGATGAAGTAAGACTGTACTTGATACTAAAAAAGAATTTTTGCCACAAATTATTTTTGCAAGTGGTAATAGTTCTTTTTACAGTTGTGGGCTTGGTGGCCAAGCCTTTGAACAGGAGTGAGGCTAAGGGTGAGCTTGTTATGATAGAGATGTTGCTGCTTTTCAAATGCAAATTTCTTTGTTATCATGTTAACTAGATACAGGTCTCTATCACAACAGGGTCACCCTTAGCTGCACTTCTGTTCAAAGGCTTGGCCACCAAGCCCACAACTGTAAAAAGGACTATGAACTTTTTACTCAACAGTTTCCTTAAACAAGGAACTAATCCCACTAATTAAACGTCCTTTTGATTTAAGGTTAGTAGTAAGGATGAATCATTTCTTGATCTTTCTGTGGATGTGGAACAAAATACTTCAATAACACATTGTCTCAAGTGAGTAAATGATTTGCCAAGTCATTGGCATGAGGAACTGGTGATCTCTCTATAGCTACTTTAAATTTTATAGTTTGTCTCTAAAAACCAGCTGTATGTACTCTTAATCTATGTATTAAGTAATAAGTATCTAGTAAGTAATAAGCAGAGAACAAAGGTTGTTGTACATGTAAATTACACTTCTGACAAAGTTAATGGGTTACATGTGTATGGAAGTTGTATATGAAAATGAATTTCAGGTCAAGAATGTCAGTTAGTCATCTACCGGGAGGCAGTTAAATGTAGTTTCAACCTTGAATTTCTCCTCTCTTGTCTGTGAACAGAGGCTTCTCCTCCACTGAGACGCTTTGCAGTGAGCACAAGTACTTTTGTGAAACTTGCTGTAGTAAACAGGAGGCACAGAAGAGGTAATTTATTCTTGCTTCTTACAACTGCTGCTGTAAGGGCTACTCAGAGGGGTAGGGGGGGTGCAAAATTAGTACAATTTTTTTTTTTTGTTAATGCAGGTTGGGCCATCACATGTTTGAAGACCTGTATAATGCTATCAATTGTGATTCGTCTTCCAGAATGAGAGTAAAGAAACTACCAAAGATTCTAGCACTTCACTTGAAAAGGTTTAAATAGATGGAACAGTTACAGAGATATGCCAAGTTGTCTTACAGAGTGGTGTTCCCCTTTGAACTGAGACTCTTCAATACAGTGAGTAGAACAGAGTTGCAATCATTTTGTGTTCTTTAGATCTTAAGTAGTGGGAGTTGCAGTGGTTCACCTTTTTAGATTGAAATCAGCTTTCACCTGGAAAAAATCAGCAGGTGTACTGCCATCTTAAATTATGTAAAGGATGGAAATCCTTCATTTCAAACAAAATCTGGCAAAAAGTTTGTTTTTTTAGTGTCCCAAACTGATTGGCTAAAAAGGAAAGACTTCATCTCACACAGGTTAGCAGGACACATGTCAGAACATTCAAAAAACAATAACAAAGTGTTGAGGGAGTTGACCTGTAAGGACGGTAAATGGCAAACTTGACTACTGGAGTCTGGTCACATGACTCCTAGTGGTTTGCAATCACATATATTCAAAAACAAACATGGATCTAAAACTCTCCGATACCCCTCTCCACCCAAATGTACTAATGCTACCAGCTTACTGTCAGGGACTCCTGATGAAATGCTGGCAGGGAGGGGTGAGGGGTTACCTGCAATAAACTGGCTTCCCATTCAGGGTGGAGAAGCAAAACTCTAAGTTGCCTCATGCATTCATCATTGCATTTTATGCATTGATGTGATTCTTTGTCAAATACATTCAGTGTATGCAATGTATTCTGTGTTGTTTTTTTTCTCCACAGTCCGATGATGCAATTAACCATGAAAAACTTTATGATCTTGTTGCTGTAGTCATACATTGCGGAAGGTGAATGATTTGTTCCTAAACTTGCATAGAACACTCTCATAAATGGCTGCCGGGTTAATATTCTTTTGTTTAAATTTAAATTAGCCTTTCTGGCCTCGTTCCCCAGTACAAAATTCAAAAGAATACATTATCTCAAGCGAGGCCAGAAAGGCTAATTTAAATTTAAACAAAAGAATATTAATCCGGCAGCCATTTTTGAAAGTGGTCATTTATCCTTATTTTCTGTACTAGTTTGACTTCTAGGAATGATCAACATAATCATAATTCTCCTTGAAATTTTTGGTTACAGTATTATGCAGGCTGGTGATCAGAAATGAGATAATTGTCATCAACTTGAAGAGAAGTTGTGTTAAATGCCAGATTCTTGTGGTAGCCTGGAAACAAATGTATCAATGATATTCCTTTAAGGAAATAACTTCCTGGAAGACTTAAAAATTGACTGAAAGATTGAACACCAGATTTATTATCACTGTATAAAATTCTTTACTAATAAAAGCTAATTAAAATTCTTGTCTTGTGTTACAAAAAAGTTTCCACCTTCTTTTCACTTTATTTCCAGAAGACTGTCTTGAACTGACTTAAACAACAGTTACTCAACTGTGATTTGACCTGTCAGTCAATTGTTGGCAATCAGTCAACTAATAGATGGCTGACTGATGGCCAAAAGTTTTAAGCAGACCTATTGGCTGACAGTGGGTAATCTGTCAGTGATCTGTATATGTTCATGGTTCTCTGCACTAGAGGTTGTAATGATTAGTGAAACTTGTGATGTCACTTCAACCTGTTTAGGCCGTAAAGAGGTTTAAAATTTTTTCTGCGAGTACTTTTGGATGCTGACTGTTTATTGATGTTAAATTCCTGTTAAGTGCGTGGCACATCCTTTTTAATTTTGTTGTTGCAGTGGACCAAACCGGGGTCATTATATTACTATTGTGAAAAGCCATGGCCTTTGGCTTCTCTTTGACGATGATATTGTAGAGGTAAGTCCACCAATTAAAATGTTGTTGTTGTTTTTTTTCTTTTAAATACATTAAATTGTTTTCAGGCGACAGTTGTTTACAGTTAATTCCACTGTAAACAATTTTCATGTTCATTTGTATGTATGTAGGGGCCCAATGTTCACACTTAAACACTGGCAACAAGGGAAATTTGAGATGCCCTAAACTCAAAGTTATTACATTAACAAGCAATTCACTGCTATGAAAGTACATAGATCTGCTGAACAAAGCAAAATAGAAACCAAAGAAACTAAGAAAAAAAAGCTAAGTAACAAATGATCAATACTTACAAGTTTTTAGTGCCTTCTGCTGATAATCTAAGAGAAAAAACCTTACTCCAGAGTAAACAAGCTAAACTCACATGAGTGGAAAACCATGTGCTCAGTGAAACTTGTTATCTTTAACTATGATTATGATGGATGCAATCAGAGGTGTATTTGAATAGAGGGGGTCTTACACATCATAATCTACATAAATAATGGTTTTACAAGAACCAGTTACCATAAAAAAATTCAGTACACTGCTTTCAAGGAGAAATTAGGGGATTAACAACATTTTGATCCCATCATAAACTTGAAAATTTTTAGATACAAGTACCAGTTTGTCATAATCAAAGTGTCTTTAACTTATTAACTATTCTATTGCTTTCATCAGAAAATCGAAGCTCAAGCAATAGAGGAGTTTTATGGTTTGACGTCAGAAATCCAAAAGTCTTCTGAGTCAGGCTACATCCTCTTCTATGAAGCAAGAGGGTAGATTACAGTGGTACTAAAATAAGCTCTAAGTAATATTTTTTTTTAAGGGACTTTCAGGAGTCTAAGGGCTCAAGACAAACATGACCTAATCAGGTACAGGCTGACTCAGCAAACACTAACAAAGGTCTAACTCACTTTTTTTGTTTTTTATTATCCTAAACTGCAATTGTTATCACTAAAATGTTTAATAAACTTATAGTTGTAATGTTTTAAAAGGATGATTAATATCTTGGGCAGAAAATGCTGTTGGCCCAATTCTCTTAAAGCAATTTCTTGTTAGCTTCAGGTAGTAGTTACTGAGATCTATGCTAGTACATGTTAGTTACAAATTTTGAAGATCTCCATCCAGTAGGCAAGTTAAGTAAAAGTTAGTCTTGAGCTTTGAATGATTCCATTACGGGTATTATAAGTAAATCCTGCAGTTGTTTTTATAATCAAGAAGAATGTGTATGTTTTTTTTGGACTCCAATAGGAATAATTTTCTTGTGGTAGGTAGCTTTGGATGTCAACTGTAAAGGAAAGTGTGGCTAAAGATAAAATGTAATTGATCAAGCATTCAGTTGACCTGTAATGCTGTATTGTAAAATTTTTTTTAGTGGGCATTGCTTGGTATTATAATGTCTTTCAAAACTTGCAAACTCTGAAGTTTGGCACTGAGCAAAAGCAGGAAATAGTAGTCCAATTTTTATCCTCCGAATTGTGAAATTCATCTAATGATAATGGAGAATGATGTTTTTTCTCTTATCGCAAAAGCAGGACAAAGAGTTTTAACTTCAGAGTTTGCATGATTTAGTGAAATAACAACAGTCAGTTCTGTGATATCATTATTCTGTTTCAAAATGTATCTTACTGTACAGTTTTATTTTCTGTGAATGTAAAATAAAGTATACAAAATCATGCAGTCTGCTGTACATGTCAAGGGTGTATTTTACTATGAACACACAACTCTATGTCCTGTTTACAAAACTTCATGATGATGACCGACTTTTCTTCTGTCATCTAAAAAGTGGGTTAAAACATTGTGCAGGTTGTCATGGGTGATTCTGCTTTGCAAAAATATTCTCTCTAGACATTTTATTCATTAATTAACGTTTTTTAATTCACTTTGTATTGCCAGTACTTCTATGTAAGTCAGCAGAGACCTCTTTTTGATACTTTTTCATTTTTATTTAATTTTAAGTCAAATAAGTTGTTGTGAAGTCATCAACACCTCACTTTGTTTAGAAGGTCTTCCTGATACAGTACATTGTTGTGAAACTATTTGAAGGGCTTGGATGTAACATATTTCATGATATTACAGTAACAACATCGGATAACTTCAAGGATTCTGATCAAATGAGATTGTGATGGACTTTTGAAAAACACAAAAGCAAGATCAAGGGAATTCCAAAATAAAATCAGTTGTAGTGCTTAGTAACTTTCACCGTTAAAGATGGAAATATCAAACAAAATATGACAATATCAGTATAATCATATAAATATAGGGCTCAACCTATTTTCACAAAATAAGAGCTTTTACTGAAGTTATAATTGTGTTACTTGAAGTTCCTACTACCTTCTTTTTTTTTACCATGAAAACTCTGAATGGACTTTGTAACACTTCAAAGTGTTTATGCTTATGGCATGTGGACTTAAAATGCCAACAGTTTAAACAAGTTTAATGATCGAAGCCACCCCTGTTGACAGTGTACTCTTCTGGGAAGTCGAAATAAAACTTGTTCTCTTGGCTTATTAGTGGCAGAATACCAGCATTTGGAATAACATTCCACGATAAATAGAGGCTGACATTCTTGTTTCCCCTGCAGGAGGGTAAAAATAGTATATTATAGTGTGTTACAAACTCTTAACTCCCAGAAGTGATTAGCCTGTAACTTCTCCCTATAATATCCATACATTGTCCAACAAACAGATAATGAGAAAACTCAAACTCATCAGGTGGAAGTCACTGTCTTGATCTAACACCAAATTCTCACAGCTAATTAACAAGAAATTGTGTAGCAACCAGAGGGGAGAATTAACAAACTGATCTTGGGAATTGAAGGGTTAAGAGAACTTGAAACAAATCCAGTCATCTTGACAAAGGCAAACAACATTTTCCTTGCTACTCCAAAGATGGCAGCTAAAACTACTACTTTCTATTTATTATGTGTTCCAAAGTATTTGAAAATATCTCATTAACACTTTAAGTGATAGATTAAAGTTGCTCGGTTCCTCGTGTTGGTGGTAGCTACATGTACACAGCAGAGCCATTGTAATCGGGATGTAGTAATTATGATAATTTTGGAGATAATTTTTTATAATTGACAATAACAGTGATACCCAATCCATACTTTGGCTGAAAATATTTTTTCAGTTTATACTTACTTGAGTCCAAGACCATCATCAAAAAAGTAATACTTGGTGTTCATGCCATGATAGTGTAGAACTGCACTATCTCCGCGCAAGATGATCTTATCCCAAATCACAACTTGGTTAAATTTCTGAATAGGAGAATTACGATGAAAAATTGTCAAATACTAGTGAGGAAACTTGTAACCTGTGAACATGCAATTGGGAGTCTTTCTTTGAGTGTGATGCTCACTGAGTTTGCTTGAAATTTAAGAAAAGCATCCGATGAGTGTTGACTTGGCCAAGATAAAACACTGTGTCATACCAGCCACAAAATCTTTCACAAGAATAAGAGAATTAATGGTTAATGTAAAGGGCAGGTCTTAATTAATCCTTTAAACCCTACGAGTGACCAGTATCTAATTTCTCCTTACAATAATACGGCTGAACCATTCATTGAGAACATGAGAATAAAAGAAATGATTGCCACCCTACCAAGCTTTGATCATTAAAGAAATTCTCCTTATCAGAACCAAAGGGAAGGTATACAGAACAGTAAAGAGAATAAAGATACTGATGTAATGGTGTGAAGGGTTTACAATGAGAATTTACTCTTTATACCCTAACATCAGAATGAATATTCTTCATACTGTTCTTTAGACATAATGTATTTAACAATCAAGATTTTCTTCAGTTGATCATTTCCTTTATTATTGTTAGCCTAAAGCATGATTCAGGGGTGATATTGTAAAGAGAAATTAATCAAAGGGTTAATATCCTCTGGTCACCATATTTACAAAAGAACATTAATACTCTTGAACAACTGCAACATAGGGCCTCGAAATATGCTCTCCATATGTCATCTAGGGACTCACTGTACGAAGAAAGACTGGCAATGCTTGGGTGGTCCAGTCTTAAATCAAGGAGGTCTTATCTATCTTTGCTATAGTGCTAGAAGACTTTTTGTAGCCTTAACGGCCGCAACTGTAATGATTATTTTGAATTTAATTGTTATGGTAAAACAAGATCAAACCATTCATTTAGATTAAGACAGCCATTAGCAAGAGTAAATTGTTTTTTGCACTCATTCTTTCTTAGAATTACAAAACAGTGGAATGCTTCTCCTAAAGAGATAATGCATGATCAGGATTTCAACATTTTTTGTAGTAAACTTAGAAAGTATTGTAAAATTTCGTAATTTTTTTTTAACCCATTTCTTGATGATTATTAAATTTTACATTGTAGTACATATATTTTATATTTTATGTTGGGAGCGTCCTTGATAGGGATAACCTCCAACGTTTCCTTTTATGTGTGCTCACAAAATAAATTGATTGATTGATTGACCAAAGACAAACTTACGTTATTCTTTGTAGTGTACTCCGCTGTTAAATACAGGAATAACTGTTTTACATTCCAGTTGAAGATACCTTTCATATCTGAGTCTCGTTAAGGAACGATTTGGTCATATTAGTTATTCTGACTTATAGGTGAAAAATGGTTTGAGGGATGATGGGAAAAAGGTCAGAGAGGGGAGGGAGGGGGGTGAAATAACACAACAGCACAATGCAACCACACAACAGTAGTTTTAACATGTACAGAAAATTAAATGCAAAAGGGATATCTCCTTCAAGGTCAAACGTTATGAATCCCAAGTCATTCTTGTCCTTAGAAACGCTGAAGTCTTGAACATTTTTACTATTCAAAAGATCAAGAAGAATACACGTGTTAGGACAAGAAACCCGAAAAAAGTTTTGATTGTTGACGATCGACGATACGGTCGTATATGAACATTGATACTCACACTAAAACTTTCTTCGTCTGTAAGTGAAGTGGGGCTTGATGAGTTTTAAAAAGCGTCGATAGGAAACAAAGGAATGTCAGAGCGGCGAGTACTGTTAAAGTAAACGCAAATATAGTGTTTAAACGAGAAAGAAATGTGTTCATTTTGATTCGAAACCGAATTTTTTTGTTAAATTCGGAGTTGTCAACTTTTCATTGGACAGTGGCTTTCGAGTCAATGAAATGCTCAAGAGTCTACAGTAGTAAGATAGTCAGCTGGTCAGTTTGAGCGGGCTTCAACATGGCGGATGAATCCATTGAATTTTTGCGCATTTGTAGCACCGAGAAAATAGTTTAAAATATTGAAATTACACGATAAAAGTTTCTAATGACTTTTTCCTTGTACTGGGGAACTCTTTTCGAGTACTATTGCTCTAGATGATTTAAAATAAGTTCGCTTGATGGCGACTCTCGATGCACTGTTCGATGCGACCTCCCGTTCTTTTGGGAGTAATGTCGCCGTCACCTTTAATTCTGGGTCAATTCAAGAACACATCACATACAACGAACTCGAAGCTCAAGTGTCCAAAGTGAAAACATTTTTGAAGACAGTGTGCGAAGGACAAGAAACAGTAGCGATATATTCCAAACAATCAATTAGTTTGGTGTCTTGTATTCTTGGAGTGTTGAAGTCTGGAAATTGCTTCGCACCCATTGATTTGAATTGGCTTCCAGACATGGTCTGCAAGTTTTTATTAAAACTGAGCGTCCATATTTTGTTTCTAGAGGAAGATCTACTCGATTCATTTGAAAATTGTTTACTGCAATGGAAAACGTCTTTACCCGAAGGCAGCAAAGTAGAATTTGTTTGGAATCAAGTTCTTGCTAACAGTGGTTTTATACCCATAAGACGACTGGATGAACTGAAGGAAGAAAAACCGAATACTGAGAATCAAGGCCTTGCATATGTCATGCAGACGTCTGGCACAACAGGTGAAGCAAAAGTCATCAGAGTGCCACACATGTGTATAGTGCCAAATATTATTGACTTGAGGTGAGTCTGCGCCAATGTTTAGTCACTGTATTAGATTTAGGGGTGATAAAGACAAAAGGTAACACAGTGTCCCCAGCCAGGGCTCAAACCTGAACCACTTGATTCAGAGTCATGCGCACAAACCATGAGGCCCCCGCGCCTCCCACCTGGCAACGTGTTCAGTGGTAATTTACCTACCTACTTCATGAAAATCATGGCAAAGGTTATGTGAATGCAAATTAACTGCAATGACTGCAAAGAGGTGTGCAAATCTTGATTAAATACTCTGTTGTTTCAGTTTGAGCAGCTTGACACCTTTGTATAAAGTAATGCACACCTCGTTCTTGAAAGCTTTAAATATTCTGCATGCCACGCTTACAACAGCACCTGAATCATCTTGTAAAATCCATACACCACAACATTTATAAAAAAATGTTTAATCTAGGACTAAAAGTAATGCATAATCTTTATATTCAACAGGAACATTTTCCAAGTGACGTCTGAAGATGTAATATTCCTTACCTCTCCCTACACCTTTGATCCTTTCATTGTTCAGATGTTCATGGCATTTGCAGCAGGAGCCAGACTTGTAATTGTGCCAGACAGTGTTAAAATGGTGCCGTCTAAGCTTTGCAATATTCTTTTTGATGAAGAAAGGGTGACTATTTTACAGGTAAGAGTTTTTTGAGATACAAGACCCTGAAAACCATACACCAGTTGGTGCTACCAATAATATAATATAAGAAAAGGACGGGATTGACTTCCCCCCTTTTCTTGAACCAGATACTCAAAACTGACAAGCGATTCCTCAGCAAAGATTAACTATGAGAAAATGCACATACAAACTGAAATTTGTTCCTGCAA